CAAGTCTTCAGACGGCGTCGGATTCGCAGCAGTGTTTCCGGACAGCGTCGTGCGGGGGCATTTACTATCTTCGGCTAGCATTTTTACTGCTGAACTGTATGCCATTCTACAGCACTTTTTCATATCGCACCCATGCCTGTGTCATCATTTGTGGGAGTCTCAGACTCCCTTAGTGCTCTACAGGCTATAAAGAAAAATTTGATACATCTCGCCCCCTAGTTCTCCGTATCCAAATTTGGCTACGCCGTATCTCTACCAAACATAGATATTGTTTTTTTTGGGTCCCTGGTCCTGTCGACATACAGGGCAATGAACAGGCAGACACTGCTGCGCGGTCAGCAGTACATGACCTACCCAATTTCCTATAGAGGTGTTCCATTTCTGGACTATTTTGCTGCAATAGCTACCCACCTTCGCACCCGTTGGGAACAACGTTGGTCAACTCTGCTCGGTAACAAACTTCATTCTATTAAACCGAGCATAGGTACTGGCTGTCTTTTTGTCAACAGTGCCGAGGTTGGGAGACCACTCTCTCCCGCCTTCCATTGGCCACACTCGTCTTACTCATGGGTATCTCATGGAAAGGCAAACCCCGTTCCCCTCTGTGAGCAGTGTCAAGTTCCAGTATCGATTAGCCACATTCTGTTAGACTACCCTCTTATCAATGAGCACGCAGAATTTACCTCCAACGTCGCTTCGTTCTACTACTCTCTCTTTACCTTCCCTTCTTGCTGATGGACCCTCCTTTAATCCTGACTCTCTCATTGACTTCTTGACAACGACTGATTTACTCCACAAACTCTGATGATACTTTTCGCACTCCCCTCAGCCCTTTCTAGTTCAGTCTCTTGCTGCCCTTTCCCCTTTCACCATCCACTACCCCGCTGTTATCCGTAACCTATTACTCGTCCATCTCCCTTTTGCCACCTGATGCCCTCGCTTCCTTCCTGCCCTGCAGCGCTGTATAGTCCTGGTGGCTTAGCGCTTCTTTTTGATTATAATAATAATAATAATATATAACTGCAGGAGCAGAGGTAAACTTGTGGTGCTCCGTCTTAGCTATTAAATTTATCATAATCTGAACTGTGATGTTAGCACAGTTTTGACAATCCTTCGTTAAGCACTCTTCACAGCCCTTCCTAACTTTACCCTTGTTGTCCTCTCCACCCTTACTCATCCTTTGATCCTGCATCAGTTCTTACCCTGCAGCACTGTATGACCCTAGTAGGTTTAGCACTTCTTTTTGATAATAATAATTGGCAAGACATTGAATGATGATGAATGTGTTTCCTGCTTTTAGTCACATGACAGGAGATGGCCAGTGAGGTAAAAGAAAAAAAATACTGTGTATATTTTAGAGCTAGTAGTAATACCATTATTATTACAGCAGTTATGTAGAATACTGATTTCCTCCTTTCATATTTTGATTATAATAATAATCCTCCTTTCATAACTCATTCCATGAGTTACACCTACACCATCACTTCTTTCCTAGTTCATACCCATTGTTTGGGGAGGGAGGGGGTGCTTCGATGCACACACTTTCATGTTATAATGACCAACTACCCTCTTCCCTTGGATCAGGTTTGGGTCATGGTGATTGGTAGTTGTAATTCTAATTGTTTTTTACATGTCCAAAATAGTGTATGAGGTCTTCTTTTATGACTATACAAGGGATGACAGCAGTTCCCTGGCATAAATTGAGGGTGGAGTGTTCTGCAAAACATGACCTTGGGTATAAAAATTTCAGTTAAATTATTCAAAACCTGAGTTTTGGGCACACGAAATGAATCTACTGTATTTGTGGCTATATGACCCTTGTGGGTTTAGTGCTTAGTTTTGATTGTAATAATAATAATGTATTTGTAAATTTACATAATTACCACTCTGGAAAATGTCAAGGTTGAAAATTCTGAAGGTTTGATAAACCTAATCATTGACATGATGAAGTCAAATTGGTTAGGATTTCATTTATTTTTAATCAGGAAAACACTTAAACCTATACGAGTCATTCAGGTTCGATCAAAGGGAACAAATTCAATTCCTTGGATCAAGAGCTCACCAGTATTGGAGGTGACTTCCTAGAACTTCAACTTCCACGTACATTATTATATTTGAGGGAAAATGCTGAATTTGTAAGGGCTATACAGTGCCTGGCTGTATAGCCCTTGTGGCTTAGTGCTTCTTTTTTATTATAATAATAATAATATACAGTGCCTGGAGAATGAGAAGCATTCTGGTTCAATCCAAGGAAAGCAAGGACTGGTCTATTCCTTGGATCAGCTTCTACATGGAAGCCCCTGAAGATTGCACTCATTAGTGAGCAAATGGCCATGCAAAATCTTTGTTTAGTAAAGATTGTTAAAGGTTAAACTGTTAAAGTGACACAAAGTTCAGCTAGGTTAAAAAAAAAAAGGCTTTAGTTGGCAAGTGAAGTTCCATGTTTTCTGTCATTTTCCTACATAGCAAGTGTAGGACTTGGTAAGAATAAAATCAAAGCATCTGGGAGTGAACATAATAGTTCAGTATACTACACCCTGCAGTTCTCTCTCTCTCTCTCTCTCTGAGTTGGTCCCATCCACTTCACTTACCAATATATAAATATTCTGACCCGGCTCCTGTTCTGCGGGTTGCCGGTGTTGACATAGCAAACCCACTAGATGTTGCCAATGAAATTGGCAATCATCTGGTCTGTATATCTCAGGGGCTCCATCTATGCCCCTCGTTTCTTTCCTCAAAGTCTGCCAGAGAGTTAGCACCCTTGGACTTTTCTTCTCTCAGAGAAGAACAGTATAATGTGCCTCTTACACTTCAAGAACTGGAGGTAACACTCTCAGCTTCCGATCACGGCAGCTGGGCCCGACACATTCATTTTTTCGTATGCAAAAAACATTTAAAATCAGTCAGCCCTTGCAGCCCTATTACGCCTTTTCAATCTTATTTGGTCACAAGGAGTTCTTCCACATTGTGGAAATCTGCCATTGTTCCCCCTTTCCGCAAACCAGGCACTACGGGAAAATGAAGCCTCCCACTATCGTCCCATTACTCTTACCAGTGCAGTTTGCAAAGTGATGGAACGCCTGGGAAATAGAAGTTTTTGTGTGGTAATTAAGAGAGACAAAAGTCTTTCCCCCTTGTCAATATGGTTTTCGTTTAAAGGGACTTTCTACCATAGACCCCTTGCTACGCTTGGATACGTATGTTTGTAATGCCTTTGCGAATAACCACTCAGTTATTGCCATATTTTTTGACCTTGAAAGGCATATGACACAACTTGGAGGTATAATATTTTGGCCCAAGCCCACTCCTTAGGCCTCTGAGGCAATCTACCCTCCTTCCTTAAGAACTTTTTAAAATGACAGGGCATTTCCGTGTTCGGGTTAATAATGTGCTCTCTCCGGACTTTATCCAAGCCGAAGGTGTCCCCCAGGGATGTGTTCTGAGCACAACACTTTTTCTCCTTGCTATAAATGATTTGGCCTCTAGTCTTCCATCAAATATTTGGTCATCACTCTATGTTGATGACTTCGCTATTGCCTGTGCAGGCGCTGACTGTCACCTCATTACAGTTTCTCTCCAGCATGCGGTCGACCGTGTTTCCAATTGGGCCACCACACATGGGTTTAAATTTTCCAGTACCAAAATTCACCAAATTACTTTCAGTAGACGCTCTGTCATCTCCGATCGTCCTTTGTATCTCTATGGCTCCCGTATCCCTGAACGTGATACAGTCAGGTTTCTGGGCCTCCTCTTTGACCGTAGGTTATCCTGGAAACCTCACATTACCTCTCTGAAGGCAACCTGTCACAGCCGGCTGAACCTTCTTAAATTATTATTATAATCAAGGGGGAAGCACTAAACCCGGAGGGTTATACAGCGCCTGGGGGGGGCGATGTGGAAGGCATTCAGGCTTAATTCGGGGAACTGGAGCACAGATCCAATTCCCTAAATCAAAGCCCCTCACCAACATCAAGGAACCTTCCTTGAGGGGAACCTTCATCTTTCATGGGGAGCTGATCGTCGAACACTCCTTCGCCTACATTCCACCCTCATTTTATCGAAACTTGATTATGGTGACCAGATCTATTCAGCGGCCTCTCCTGCTACTCTCTCTAGCTTTAACCCCATTCATCACCAAGGATTACGTTATGCCTTGGTGCTTTTCGCTCTCCCCTGTTGAGAGCCTCTATGCAGAAGCGAACGTTCCATCCTTATCCGATCGCCGTGTTGCCCATTACCTTCGCTACTATGTACACTCTCATGATCTCTGCAATCCTTCCATTTATAGAATGGTCACTGATATTAGTAGACATTCTTTATTTGTTCGCCGCCCGTTTACTCCGTCCCTTCACTCTTCGCCTACATTCGCTCTTGTCTTCTCTTCAATTACCACCTTTATATGTTCATGTAGCATCTCACTTTTCCCTACCCCCCTGGGAAGTTCCAGCTGTTCGAGTCTGTTCTTTCTCTCTCCCTTGCTCGAAAGCCCAACTGTCTACAGTCGCTTCCCGCTCTCTTTTTCTTGACCACTTCCACTCTCATTCTCATGCCATTGCAGTGTACACAGATGGCTCTAAGTCTTCTGACGGCATAGGATTCGCTGCAGTGTTTCCGGACAGCGTCGTATGAAGGCATTTACTATCTTCAGCTAGTATTTTTACTGCTGAATTGTATGCCGTTCTTGCAGCACTTATCCGTATTGCATCTGTGTCATCATTTGTGGTTGTCTCAGACTCCCTTAGTGCTTTACAGGGTATACAGAAATTTGATACACCTCACCCCTTAGTCCTCCGTATCCAACTTTGGCTACGCCGCATCTTTACCAAGCATAAAGATATTGTTTTTTGTTGGGTCCCTGGTCATGTTGACGTACAGGGCAATGAACAGGCAGACACTGCTGCGCGGTCAGCAGTACATGACCTACCAGTTTCATATAGAGGTATTCCATTTACGGACTATTTTGCTGCAATAGCTATCCACCTTCACCACCCGTTTGGCAACAACGTTGGTCTACTATGCTCGGTAACAAACTTCAATCTATTAAACTGAGTATAGGTTACTGGCCATCTTCTTGTCACCAGTGTCGAGGTTGGGAGACTACTGTCTCCCGTCTTCGCATTGGCCATACTCGTCTTACTCATGGATATCTCGTGGAGAGGCGCCCTGCTCCTCTCTGTGAGAATTGTCAGGTTCCATTATCAGTCAGCCACATTCTGTTAGACTGCCCACTTTATCAACGAGCACGCAGAATTTACCTCCGTCGTCGTCTTCGCTCCGCTGCTCTCTCTTTATCTTCCCTTGCTGATGGACCCACCTTTCATCTGGACTCTCTCATTGACTTTTTGACAGCAACTGACTTACTTCACAAACTCTGATACCTTCCGCCCTTTCTACCTCAATCTCTTGCTACCCTCTACCCCCGCACTATCCCCTGCCCCGCTGTTTTCTGTAACCTACTGATCATCCCTCCCCCCTTCTGCCACCCAATACCCTCACTTCCTTCCCTACCCTGCAGCGCTGTATAGCCCTTGTGGCTTAGCGCTTCTTTTTAATTATAATAATAATAATAATTCACTTACCTACCTTTGTCTACCTGTATATATACACTACTTTCTCTCATGTAGTCTCTACCATGTAAGTGTGGTGAAAGTGTTGAATGATGATGAAAGTATTTTCTTTTTGGGGATTTTCTTTCTTTTTTGGGTCACCCTGCCTCGGTGGGAGACGGCCGACTTGTTGAAAAAAATAATAATAATAATAATAATGCCTCTTGAGTGTTGACCTGCAGCTCCTGAGCCTTTTTAGGGTATTAAGCTACAGATGCTGGGCTTCTTGAGTGAAGCACCAGAGTCTCTTGAACGTGTTGATATCTAGCTTCTGGGAGGATTCGGGTCGAGATCCTAGAATCTCTCGAAGTTGAGCTGCAATTCCTGTGCCTCTTGAAGGTTTTGTGCTGTATAGCCCTTGTGGCTTAGCGCTTCTTTTTGATTATAATAATAATAATAATAATTGAAGGTTTTGTGGTATACATACAACACTTATCTTGGGTTGTGCAGCAACCAGAATACATCTACAGTAATTGTCATTTTTTCAACTTTTTACTACAGCTAAATAAAAAGTAAAAATATATACATGGCTATCAGTACATTGTCATGGACAAGCTGCCATATTCCTGATGCAGCACTACACATCTAGGGGTCATGTTGCACTTGGGAATGGGAGAGAAACTCCAGTTCATTGGATCAAGATTATTATTACAATCATAACTTAAGTGATAAACCCACTAGGATCATACAGGCACTAGATCAAGACCCCTTCAGCACAAAGACATCCTTAAAGGGACCTTTTCAAGGAAGGGGGGCCCTTGCATTAATGCTAGTGACCCCTCAAAGGAGGTTCCTTGACACTGGTGAAGGGCTCTTGATCTAGGGAATTGGATTGGTGCTTCAGTTCCCTGAATTAACCTGAATACCTTCCATCACCCCCACATTATTATAATCAAAAAGAAGCGCTAAACCACAAGGACTATACAGCGCTGCAGGGCAGGAAGGAAGCGAGGGCATCAGGTGGCAAAAAGGAGATGGATGAGTAATAGGTTACGGAGAACAGTGGATTGTGAAAGGGTAGAGGGCAGCAAGAGATGGATGTAGAAAGGGCTGAGGGGAGTGCAAAAGGTATCATCAGAGTTTGTTGCTGTACAGCCCTTGTGGCTTAGCGCTTCTTTTTGATTATAATAATAATCAGAGTTTGTGGAGTAAATCAGTCGTCAAGAAGTCAATGAGAGAGTCAGGATTAAAGGAGGGTCCATCAGCAAGAAGGGAAGGTAAAGAGAGAGCGAAGACGACGTTGGAGGTAAATTCTGCATGCTCGTTGATAGAGAGGGCAGCAGTCTAACAGAATGTGGCTAATCGATACTGGAACTTGACACTGCTCACAGAGAGGAACAGGGTGCCTCTCCATGAGATACCCATGAGTAAGACGAGTGTGGCCAATGCAAAGGCAGGAGAGAGTAGTCTCCCAACCTCGGCACTGATGACAGGAAGACGGCCAGTAACCTATGCTCGGTTTAATAAAATGAAGTTTGTTACCAAGCAGAGTTGACCAACGTTGTTGCCAATGGGTGTGAAGGTGGGTAGCTATTACAGCAAAATAGTCTGGAGATGGAACACCTCTATGTGAAATTGGTAGGTCATGTACTGCTGACCGCGCAGCAGTGTCTGCCTGTTCATTGCACCCCCCACAGGCACCGTATAATTCTACGGGTTTAGTGCTCCCCCATGATTATAATAATAATGCTAGTGAGGGGCTCCCAAGGAATTGGAGCTACCCCCCATTTCCTTCCTCATATCAATCCTGATTACCTGTCATTTCCCAGGTGCTGTAGAACCATTACAGGCTTAGCATTCCCCATGATAAAAATAATGGTTTAAAGGATAAGCTACCATGACAATATTAACATCATGAAATTATTTTTCAGTTGTGAAATAAAATAAATTAAAAAAATCCGAAGTTGTCGAATAGTATTTATTTGTACTTAGGCCTAATAAATCACTTGGAAAAGTTCATTATAATCTGGTTATATACATACTTTATAACTTCAAAATCGGTATCACAAATGAAGAGGTGAGTATGTCCTGAAAGATGTCCAGAAAAATTTGCGACAAAATATATTTAGACCAAAAACAGGCACATTGTAGTATTTACAGTAATAGATACTGTACTGGTATCTGTAAATTATGTACAAATGTTTCTTACATGTCAGATCAAATTTTAAAATATAAATTACAATATGTTAATGTCCATGGTATAGAAACAAATTATATAACTATAATCTGTTCCACTAATTATAGTGAAGATAAAAACTGTCACATAATAGGAAATTGTCAGCTTTTACAGTATATATACAACAGTATAATTTAAGGGAAACCTCAAGAGAGGTAATTATCAGTAAGATGAACGGTTTCTACAACACTCTCAAGATTCCCAACATTTGACAGAAGACCTTCACCATTCTCTGCATAACCATCATCACAAAGTTCATCTTCATTTACCATGCTTGTTAACCGATGGAACTTTTGTGTCTCATTGGATTTTTGTTTTTCTATTATTGCCTTGTCTACATTTTCCATTTCCTTTCCTTCATTAGCACACCGTCCTGCCTTCAAACTCTCCTTTTTTATATTTACATTTTCCTTTCCTGTGTGTGTATTACCTTCTTTATTCTTGTCACTCTTTACTGCCAAATTTAAGTTCTCTTTAATTTCTGTACCTGCAGAAGTATTCTTGCTTTTGTTTGTTGTAGAGCTTTGTTCCAATTTTTCATTCTTATCATTTCCCCCTGTTAATTTTTTTTCTGGTTCAGCAACAGCTATGCACACAGTTTCTTCCTTAAAATGCATAAGTCTTTGTCCTGTTTTAGCATGGTCTTTTTCTACTGTGTGATGATTCACGTCCTCCTCTTCAAGGATTTCTTTTGGAGGCAATGAATCGTTTACATGTATGCTGGACTGCTTAGTTTTGGTACCTTTATCAGCAATATGATCCAGTTCTTTTGCATTTAAAACAGTATTTCCTTCAGACAAAGAGGACTGGTTTATAAGGGTGCTACTTTCTACCTTTCCAGATTGATTACTTTCAATTACTTCTTTCTGATCATTTTCAGTCAACTTTTTGTCACCAACCTTTTCAATGCCTAAAGATTTTTGAGTTTCATTTCTACCTGTCCAAATATCATTATCTGTGATCACCATAACTTCAGCTAGGTTATCCAAATTAGTATCTAAATCTTCCAAACTTTCCTCACAATTATCTTTAGCTATGGGTTTAATTTCCCTGTATCTGCCATTTCGTGTCGGTAACCATTTATAAAGGTTTCTCTCTTTTATTAAGTTAAAGTTATGTTCTTCATGGAGATGTTCTATTAGAATTTCACTTGATCGAAACTTGACCTCACACACATGGCACCTATATGGTGTCTCTTCTGTATGCTCCCATACATGCTCTCTGAGTTGTTTATATTTTGGCATCCTTATCTGGCATAATTTGCACTTATAAAAGCCATTCTTAGGTCCATGGTGTACACTACTATGTGCAAGAACTGCTTCGGGAGATTTGAAATTTTCATGACACCTACGGCATTTTGTACCTTTTCTATTGGCCAAGCCCCTACTCTGTTTCGTAGTTTTTCTTATCTCTAGAGGAACTTTTACTTTATTGACTGCCATAGAAGACTCTTCTCTTTGTGCCTCATTACTGACCCTCAAATCATGACTTAACACTGAAGTACCATTAGATATAGTGTTCATATTCTCTGAATTCAGATGATGATCAAGAACTTCAACTTTTTTGTAGATTGCCCTGCAAAGTTGAAGAGATTCACTTGCTGGGACTTCATTATCTTGAGGTACATTACAAAGATGAGCTCCACTAATCAGAATCTCTTTTTCAAAAGGAGGAATCTTGATGCATCGCTCCTTCATGTGCTTCAAAATTGCAGCTTCTCGGAAATACCACAAACCACAATAAGAGCAGACCAAAGGCTCCTTTGATTTAGAAAACTGTAATTGCATCATTGACAAAGGAAATGGAAATAATGAGCTCGATACAGGAACAGCAGCTTGAGAATTAGATACCTGAGAAACACCCATCTGTGATGTAGCTACCTTTGGTGTAGCTATCTCTGATGTATCGCCTTGAGGTGAAGCAGCGTATGTAGCTGTTTGAGTAGTTATCAGAGGTGTAGTTATTGGAGGTATAGCTACCTCGGATGTAGCTATCTGAGATTTAGCTATCTGAGGTGTAGCTACCTTAGGTGTAGCTATCTGTGGCTCATCTGAGGAAATATTAGTTTTTTCACTTTCAGTGACTGGTAAGTTATCAGACTGAGACACACTGTCTGATGACTCCAGTTTATTATGGCTATACAAGAAACCAAGCTCTTCTAATGTTGCACCTTCTTTGAACTGTTTGACAATGTTCTTTGGTATTTTCATACAATACTTCCACACGTGCCGTTTCATTTCTGCTTCTCTCCTTGTTACCATAAGACAATATTTACAGGTAATAGGTCCCTTGTGAGTTACTTTGTTGGAAGGTTTTGAAGGAAGTGGGTCACCTGCAGAATTTTCATCAGGACTTTTTTTAATTATTCTATAGTGAGGCCCATCTCCAGTGTTTTCTAAATAAGAAAGAGTTACACCATTTTCTAGTTTTGTTTTTAGGTGTTTAGGAGCACTAATACAATCATGCTTAAGATGCCTTCGTAATTCTCGTTCACGGCGATACAGTTTTTCACAGTAGGCGCACTGGAAAACCTCAGTGCTCCGAACTGGCATATTTACATCAAGTGACTCATCTGTATCAAATCCTTTGTGAGCTTGGGTTCTGTGCCTATTTAAATCTGTGATTGATGCAAAGTGCCCTCTACACATGGGGCATTTGAACCTTTCAAATCCCCCAACATTAATAGTTGCAACTTCATTACTTTCAAGTTCTTCTATTTTTAGCCTTTTTAACGCACTTTTCCTCTCTTCCTCTGCTGTACTAGAGGCACCTCTCTTCTCCCCTCTGCGACTCCGTGACTTAAGTCTGTGAAAGAACATATGCTCACTCAACTCTGCCTTGGAAAGGAAACTTGCATCACATGATTCACACATATAATAAAAATCTGTATCTTTGTATATAAAATTGCTGGATAGTTTGCTAATGGGTCTTCTACGACTAAATGGCCTCCTGCCTTTCTTAGGGATAATGGGTTCCCCAACAGTGTGCAGATCTTCAGATAAAGTCCTAGAGATGAGTTCACTCTTCACATCAACCAAGTCATTATGCATCACTACTGGCATTATATCTTTAGAACTCTCTGCTGATTCTGTGGTTTGCTTTGTTCTGTCCTGATGTGCATATTCTGTAGACGTTTCATGAGAATTGTCAAATTCTTGATCAAGAGCACTTTCTTCTAAGTTATTGTCTATTTGCTGCCTTTGGGTATGATGGTTATTCGAGTTTCGTTGTATGGTAGTTGATTTCTGTGACATACAAAGTCTCTGTCTTTTACCTCTGATGTTCTCTAAATCACCGGGATTCCGAAAGTATCTTTTATAATCTGCTAAGGTTACCTTTAAATGATCATTAGGACCAGAATTTACCTTGTTAATAAATGTTTTTCTTTGATCTTCTTGCTTTTTGGGGCCCTTGAATAACCCTGGGGAATTTCTTTTGGCTTACAGTATGTTGCCTCAAAACATTCACATTTAAGGCTATGACAAGTTTTGCAAGAAAATGACAATAATACTTCTCATCCTCATATGCTGCAGTAAGAGATCTGTTATATGGTATTTCAGTGTGATTTCTGATGAAAACACATGTTCAATATGTCAAAAAACATACTTGTAGTGAACAGTGCTATGTTTAATCATTAGCCACTCGTCTGAAAAATCTTACTGCATGTTGGCCACTGATAGCCAATGATAACACTTTCATCTAAAATATCCCCGCTACTTCTCCGAGAACAAAAATAGTGGGAGTCCATGTAGGAAGTTGAAAGGGTACTGGGTGCTTTTAGATTTTTCCCTTTCACGGGATCCTCCATAACTGCTAAAAACTCTCGGAGGCTCTGGGTGTTTTACTGGAAATAGCATCACAAGTTGTGGGATCGTTTACTTCCCGTGCTCGATTAAAAACAAGATTAGCTTTTTGCATAAAATGGTGATAGGCTTTTCATTCATGGCACTGGAAATATTTCACATTTCTTCTGTTCTTGAAGGGACTCTACTTTTGAAATTGTGATATTACTGAGATAATCCCCATCATCATATACAGAAACTTGTTCAATTTTTGGTTCTTTCAGTAAACCCGATGAAAACTGTGAACTTTCAACCAGTTCATTTTCCCCAATTTTCTCCTGGTGATGTTGATTTCATTGGGCGAGCAAAACGCTCTGTGTACCTTCATTGATATCTGTGGCCTCCGCATCAGAAAAACCCAAAGGGGAAAACAATTCTTGAAAATTACTTTTTACTTTAGCCGGGATCACCAGGGCTGACCAGAGGAATGGTAATGCTCACACTTGATGAAAACGGAACATTTTTTTTTACCTGCTAACTCTGTTTCTTTGTACTCCTGTGCTGGATTTACTGCCATTTTTAAACATTACTTTTCACAATTCTTTCCTCTCCATCTTCCATTTTTATAAAGACAATTTTTTCTTTTTCTTGCTCTTTACTATTATTGTTATAATGGAGCCCAAATTTTTTTTTACTAAATGTTGCTGCTGAAGAACTCTTCTGCAAAATATTCTCCCTTTCACTCTGAAGCAACACAGAATCTGCCCATCTTTTTTGGAGATTTTTTGACTGAGTTTCATCCGATGTACTCAGCTCATCTATTAACTCAATACTTGAATCGGTCTGGCACTCTTTAGTATCTGGACTAGTCTTATCTTGTGTGTTAGTATAACCAACGGCCAGTATTCTTGCCCCTGATGCCTTACTGACAGCATTCACACTGCTGGGCAGCTTCTTCCATTTAATAGACTCAGAACCATTTGCTGAAACGAATGCAAAACAAATCAAAATATTAACACATAGTTGGAAATATTATGAGATAATATTATTATTTTTATTTATTCATTTTGCACTAAACCCATACAGGTCATACTGCATGTGGGGAATGGGAGGCAATCAAATCAAATCTAAGTTGGGAAACGGAGTGTGACTAATTCCCTTGATCAGGTGTCTACAAAAGCAGGCCTTAGACAGGGATGCTTGATGTCACCAATGTTGTTTAATATATTTATAGGTGAAGTTGTAAAAGATGTGAATGCTAGGGTGTTGGGGAGAATTTTTTTTTTTTTTTGAAAACGTCAGCCACCTCCCACCGAGGCAGGGCGACCCAAAAAGAAAATACTTTCATCATTCAATACTTTCACCTCACTCACACATAATCACTGTCTGTGCAGAGGTGCTCAAATGCAACAGTTTAGAAGTCCCTCCAAACTGTCAATATCCCAAACCCCTCCTCTGAAGTGCAGGCATTGTACTTCTCATTTCCAGGACTCTAAGTCCAGCCAACTGGTTTCCCTAAATCTTTCTTTCTTTCAACACACCGGCCGTATCCCACCGAGGCAGGGTGGCCCAAAAGGAAAAACGAAAGTTTCTCCTTTTACATTTAGTAATATATACAGGGGTTACTAGCCCCTTGCTCCCGGCATTTTAGTCGCCTCTTACAACACGCATGGCTTACGGAGGAAGAATTCTGTTCCACTTCCCCATGGAGGTAAGAGGAAATAAACAAGAACAAGAACTAGAAAGAAAATAAAAGAAAACTCAAAGGGGTGTGTATATATATGCTTGTACATGTATGTGTAGTGTGACCTAAGTGTAAGTAGAAGTAGCAAGACGTACCTGAAATCTTGCATGTTTATGAGACAGACAAAAAGGACACCAGCAATCCTACCATCATGTAAAATGATTACACTCTTTCGTTTTACACTCACTTGGCAGGTGGCCTGGTGGCTAAAGCTCCCGCTTCACACACGGAGGGCCCGGGTTCGATTCCCGGTGGGTGGAAACATTTCGACACGTTTCCTTACACCTGTTGTCCTGTTCACCTAGCAGCAAATAGGTACCTGGGTGTTAGTAGACTGGTGTGGGTCGCATCCTGGGGGACAAGATTAAGGACCCCAATGGAAATAAGTTAGACAGTCCTCGATGACGCACTGACTTTCTTGGGTTATCCTGGGTGGCTAACCCTCCGGGGTTAAAAATCCGAACGAAATCTTATCTTATCTTACCTCCCTGGGTGGTTGCTGTCTACCAACCTACTACCTAGGATATATATTTTTTTTTTTCCAACAAGTCGGTCGTCTCCCACCGAGGCAGGGTGACCCAAAAAAGAAAGAAAATCCCCAAAAAGAAAATACTTTCATCATTCAACACTTTCACCACACTCACACATTATCACTGCTTTTGCAGAGGTGCTCAGAATACAACAGTTTAGAAGCATATACGTATAAAGATACACAACATATCCCTCCAAACTGCCAATATCCCAAACCCCTCCTTTAAAGTGCAGGCATTGTACTTCCCATTTCCAGGACTCAAGTCCGACTATATGAAAATAACCGGTTTCCCTGAATCCCTTCACTAAATATTACCCTGCTCACACTCCAACAGATCGTCAGGTCCCAAGTATCATTCGTCTCCATTCACTCCTATCTAACACGCTCATGCACGCTTGCTGGAAGTCCAAGCCCCTCGCCCACAAAACCTCCTTTACCCCCTCTTTCCAACCCTTTCAAGGACGACCCCTACCCCTCTTTCCTTCCCCTATAGATTTATATGCTTTCCATGTCATTCTACTTTGATCCATTCTCTCTAAATGACCAAACCACCTCAACAACCCCTCTTCTGCCCTCTGACTAATGTTTTTATTAACTCCACACCTTCTCCTAATTTTCCACACTCCGAATTTTCTGCATAATATTTACACCACACATTGCTCTTAGACAGGACATCTCCACTGCCTCCAACCGTCTATTCGCTCCTGCATTTACCACCCAAGCTTCACATCCATATAAGAGTGTTGGTACTACTATACTTTCATACATTCCCTTCTTTGCCTCCATAGATAACGTTTTTTGACTCCACATATACCTCAACGCACCACTCACCTTTTTTCCCTCATCAATTCTATGATTAACCTCATCCTTCAAAAATCCATCCGCCGACACGTCAACTCCCAAATATCTGAAAACATTCACTTCTTCCATACCCTCCCCCCAAAATTTGTATCCAATTTTTCTTTATCTAAATCTTTTGATACCCTCTCACCACCCTTTTTTATGTTCACTTCAACTTTCTACCTTTACACACATTCTAAAACTCATCCACAACCTTTGCAATTTTTCTTTAGAATCTCCCATAAGCACAGTATCATCCAAAAAGTAACTGTTAAATTTCCCCTTTTTAAATTTTTGTTCCCCATAATTTAACCCCACCCCCCCCCCAACCCCCAACCTTTACTCTTTAACAACCCCATCTATAAATATTTTAAAACAACCATGGTGACTTTACACATCCCTGTCAAGCCCTACTTTAACCGGAATTATCCCCTCTCTTCTACACACCCTAACCTACCCCCTTCCTCAAAAACTCTTTACAGCATTTATAACTTACCACCTATTCCATATACTTGCAACATCTGCCCATTGCCCCAGCACTTTTATCAAAAGCCTTTTCAAATCTAAAACAATAAAAATCCCTACCTTTATCTAAATACGTTCCCAAAACATGCTTCAATGTAAACATTTAATCACACTCCCCCCCCACTCTGACTCCTTGCTCTCCGCAATCCTACTTCTTCTTACCCTAATTCTTTAAATTTATAACCCACCGATATTTTTTCCTGGTAACTCAAAAGCTATCCTCTATAATTTTACAGTCTCTTTTTCCCCTTTCCCTTTATATAAAGGACTATACAGCCTCTCCCAATCCCTGGGTACCTCCCCCTCTTTCATACTTTTTAATAAAAAAAAGACCAACCACTCCCAAACTAAACTTCCAGGTCATACACATTTACTATAACCCACTTTTCACACCAATTTTTTATTTTATTTCCACATAACCCTTTAAATTTATCATTTGAGTCCCTCTTTTCCTGCCATAGCATCCTTCAACATTATTGCACCCTCTTAGCTCTAACTCTATTAAAAAAACCCCTGACCAATCCATTTTTTCCCTCTCCATTGAAACCTCCCCCACCCCCTTCAGCTTTGTTTCACTTAAAACCCGGGACTCCAGTTTTTTTCTCATTCATAACATCCAAAACACCCTTTTTCTTATCTTTTGCACAACCCACGCCATTAACTTCCATTTTGACAATTTTTCTTTTATTCTTTTAGTAACTTTACAAAAAAAGGGGTTAAACCCATTGTTCCCGGCATTTTATTGACTTTTACAACACACTGCTTACGGAGGGAAAGTTCTTATTCCACTTCCCTAGGATATAAAAGGAAAAGTAATAAACCAAGAACTTTTAGATAAAATAAAAGAAAACTCAGATGTTTGTGAAAAAAACGTGTACTTTTGTATGTGTAGTGGACTAAGTGTAAGTAAATACAAGACGTCCCCTGAATCTTGCATATTTATGAGACAGACAAAAGAACCCCCAGAAACCCTTTACCATCAGGTAAAAAAAATTACAGGTTTTTCCCTTTTTACACTCACTTGGCAAGGGTTAAAACCCCCTGGGGGTTGCGTCTACCAACCACTTTTTTTAAAAAGAAAAAGAAAAAAAAATTTGTCAAGGGGGGAAAGTCGAATGTGGGATGTTGTGCAAAATGAAAGAAAGAGATGATTGTGGATGTTAGGGAATCAGAAAAACTGGATGTCCTGGTTTTAATGAAACAAAAGCTGAAGGGGGGGGGGAGGTTTCAAGGGAGGGGAAAAAATGGGATTAGGTCGGGGGTTTCAAAAGAGTTAAGCTAAAAAAGGAGTAGCAAAATGTTGAAGGATAAGCTAGGGCGGGAAAAGAGGGACTACAAATTAAAAAAAAAAGGGATTATGTGGAGTAAAATAAAGTTTGGGATTGAAAAGTGGGAAGAAGCGGTAGCACCGGAGAAGAAAAATTTAGAGGAGAGAGAGAAACTGGAAATGTTGAGTGAATCGTGGGGGGTTTTAAATAAAATTTGGAGTAAGGGTGTTTGGGGATTTCATGAAAAGTGGTAAAAAATTTTTGGAGGGAGTATAGGTAATTTGGGGTGCCAGGGAAATGTAAAGGGGGACCTTTAAATTGAGCTATGTTAGAAAAAATTTTGGGTAATAAGAATAAAAATTTTTAAAAAAAGAGGAAAAAATAAATAACAAGGTATGATTACACGTAAAAAAAAGTTTTGTTAGTTTTTAATTGGTGGATAAAAGGTTGATGGAAACTCCGGGATGTACTTTTTATAAAAGGGGCAACGATATAGGGATCAATTTATTTACAAAGTTAAGTAAGGAGATGGAAAAGGGAAAGGTGAAACAACAAGTAAAGGGGGGGTGAAAGGGGTAAAAACAAGGGGAGGAGGAAGTTCGGCGAGAATAACACTTTTGGGCAAAAAGGGTGGGCTATGAAAAGATGAAGTGGGGGGGTTGAAAGGTTGGGGAATAGTTTTTAAAAAATGCAGTTTTAAATTTGGGGGGCAGAATTTGGGGTTATAGAGGGGGGCAGGAGGAAAGAGGATTTTGGGTGGAATGATAAGAAAAGGGGTGGATAAAAGAGAAAAAGGTAGCTTACGAGAGATTTTTACAAACAAAGTGTTATAAGAAGAGCAGAGTAAGGAGAGTAAAAAAAAGGGTAAAGAAGGGGTGAGAGAGTGCAAAAGGAAGCAGAGAAAAGTGGGAGAGGCACTGTAAAGAATTTTTTAATGAAAATAAAAAAAATTTTTTGGGATGATTTAAAACAAGTTAAAAAACCCAGGAAAGTATGGATTGTCATTTAAAAACAAGTGGGGGAGTTAGTAAGGGGGAGGGGGAGGTATTAGGTAGAGGGGGCGAAATTTTTTGA